CCAACGAGGAACGGAACGGAAGAACGAACTGAAAAAGTGAGTGCAATGTGCCACTTCTAGACACAACTGAACAACTGAGTCACTGCGAACACGCCGACAATCCAGCGGTCCCAGACAGCACCCTTCCTACACGCCACAACTGAACAAAGCCCAGAGTCACCGTGAACGAACAAACAAACAAAACCACTGACCCAGGGGTGCTCAATACGCCGATCCTCAACGTCGTGTGGGTAGATCGCCTTGTCTTAGCACTCGTCTCGGACTTGATCGTGTTTGGACTCGGTCTTGTCTCTCACTCGAGGTCTGACACTCAACAAGTGTGATCATATTTCATTCCGGCCGCTGCTGTTGGTAATAAACTTGTAGCGGGTGCAGGAGCGTGTGGGGCGTCTCAGTGCAGCCTGTGCGCTCATTTGAAACCCGCGGAGACTCTACGGCGCATCACAAACACACACGCTCCCTATGCACGGCTCGTCTGCGACAGCGTGTGTCCTCGTGTACCAGCGTGCATCACAGGGCAGGTTCAACTTCCTAAACATCCTACCTGTCCATCTGCCTCACGTCAGCACGCCGCCCCTCGCCTTTTCACGCTCTCGCTCCTTCCTGCGTACAGCGAACACAAGCCCCTCCCACAGTGCGGCTGATTAGAAGAGCAAGACCAAACGTGAAGCAAAAACCAGTCTAAATTTGTGTTCCAGTGTTGGCACAAAGCAGGTCTACAGCATAGAGCAAATCTACAGAACAGACCTACTGCCACATTTGGCTGAAGTTTGTCTAACAAAAGTCCACAAATGCATCTGTGTTTGTCACGATGTGCGTTTGGTTTGGTAAACGTGCAGAGGCTGGTAAATATCACTGCAAAACCAGAAAAGAATGAAACTCCAGTTTGGAACTTTAAAAAACAGGTTTAAAAATCTTACCTACTTCTTTCACTTTTTTCACAGTTTTGTGTAAAGTGCCAGAGGAAGTTCTCTTAAAGAAGGGGTTCTCAAACTGTGGGTGAGGGTCCAAAAAAGGGGCACAGAGTGTTTCAGTGCAGTTTGCTTGGCTTTTAGGTAGATCATTTTGACTTGGTCATTTTGTAAGTAGCTCGCATGCTGAAAAAGTGTGAGCACCCCTGCACTGACCCATCCAACTTTTGTGTTTCCTTTAAAGTCCGGTGCTGTTTATTTGTGAAAAAAGTTTGAAAATAGACCATTCAATGACAGTGCGCTTTATAATCCAGAGTGCCTAATAGCTCAGAAAACACAGTACTTAATGCCGAGCTTGAGTTTCATTTGAGTTTATTATTATGACAACACTACTGTACACATTGCACAGAGCCTGTTGCTGCTATCTTTGGATTAGCACGAGTGTGGCCATATCCTTGTTTTGTTGCTATGGCATTTCCTACTATTATCAACAAGCTTCCGGACTTTCACTTTCTCAAATTTATTATTACCTTCAATTACAATCTAATCTATTGCAAACAAGAATTTTGCATCTAAATAATATCAAAATATAATGTAAACAAGTTACGACTACAACTTATATCCAAAAATTTAACAGGACTTTGCATAAATTGCTGTGTACCCCAATATATCCACTCTGAAAATTATGTAATCTTTGGCCAATGCTGCAACCTACACATTCTATACCTAAAACGATTTCTGTGATATTAGAAAGTGCATTGCTCAACGTTTCCCTACGCGATTCAACTCATACATGACTAACTTTATTTTGCACCTGCTATTTCTTAATATTAGGTCATGTCTTTTTTTTTTTTTTCTACACAATGCATGGCGATCCAGCTGTTTCTAGCATCTTCGTCCCAAAACATGAGCAGACACGCGGCCACGGCACAGATTTGCGCATTATGTCATCGCCACTTCGTTAATCCTGCTCAGGTAGTACACAACGCTTTTAGCCACGTCCTCCTGTCTGTTACGCACGAGTACTAACGATCTATAGGAGCAGACGTAGCCCAGAGACATGTACGTACGGAGAGATCACTGGTCTGGGTGGTATTCCAACGCAACAAACCAGGATTAAAGTGGGAACTAAACCAAGTGTAAACCAGGAATAAACTAGGGATAAACCAAGAATAAACCAGAACTAAACAAACCAGGATTACTCACACGTTTACCGCGTCAGAATTGGAACTAAACACGAAACTAAACCTGGACTAGACTAGAACTAAACCAGGACAAGAACATGGCCAACCCAAATGACACATAAGCACTTGAATGGGCTTAAATTAGGATCAAATAACGACAAGTGTGAACGCAACCTAAACCAGGACGCACTCGCAGCTAAAACAATGCTATATGGGCTAAACCAGGACTAAACCTGGATCTAATGCTAAAACCAGGACTTAAATTCGTATGCACGCGTTGAATTTCCGTATTTCTCACTGTTTGTGTGCGCCACGCATCATTCACTGACAAGCCCCCCCTTCCCAAAACAGGCACCACACCTTCCCCGTGCAACAGCAAAGCATCGCAGCATCACGCGGAGGCAAAAGGTTATCGTAATACTCACCCCTTGATGGCTCCAAATACGTGCGCACACATGTCTATAGACGCGTAATCCCATCTGACAACGCCAAACGCAGCGGTAGCATCCCGGTAGACGCCAAAACGCACGGTACACGGTGAGGTTTTTGCATGCAGATGGAGCGGAGCGGAGTGACAGCGAGAGGGACTGACTGCGGTGGGCTGGGTGCACGGAACAGCCCCTCCTCCCCGCGCTCGCTGCTCCGTCGCTTCTTCGCTTTGGAGTGAGGGACAGTGCGTGTGTAATGCGCGTAATGCTGCCACCCAGAGTCAAAGAGACGATGATAGAGTTTTCCATAGCAACAAAGAAAAATATATATGTGTATTTTAACAGATTTCTTATTGTTTTTAAAAGTGCACCGTGTTTTTTTTTTTTTGGTGGAGGGTCTGAAACCTGCTTGGGTACATGGAAATGTAATTAGCTTTTTTCCACTATATGACATTAAAACTATCTCTGCAGATCTGAGCATGGAGAGGTGACCGTTCTCACAGTAAGAAGAATGTAAGCAACAAAAACACTTCTCACTCATTAATTATGTCATTTAGGTTTGCCAGTATACTAGACAATAACAGGTAAAGTGACACAGCAATGCTCAAAAGAAGTCGGCAGAAGCAAAAATCTTACTCAATGAAAATTAATAAGTGATGTTTAATGTATTGCAAATTTAAAAAGAAGGTGGGAACAGTGTTTAAAATAGATTTCAGCCAATGATGACTATGGTGGCTCTTTATACATCTATGGAATCTTTAAATGACTGTAATTAATATTTTAATTAATGGGGTGAAAATTGCATGGTCACTAATTAATACATTTCCACAAGCTCCTTCAGGTGGTGCTTGGACAGCTCTTCAGTGGATTTGTTGTAAGCCTGTTAGAATATTTTGATGAAGTAAATAGAAACAATGAACGATAATATAGAAACTAAACACAACGGATTCCAGGCACTCCAAAAAAGTAGAAAAAGTAAAAAAAATCACATGAAGAAAAATATAGTTAAAAGGCCTTTATTTGAATGGACAAAGCCAACATGTTTCGACCTTAACTGGTCTTCATCAGGGCTTAATTCAAACATGTTGGCTTTGGCCATTCAAATAAAGGCCTTTTAAACTATATTTTTCCTCATGTGATTTTTTTTTTACTTTTTCTACTTTTTTGGAGTGCCTGGAATCTGTTGTGTTTAAGTTTTGATCTTTTTTCCAAGAGCACCCTCTACCTGCTCCTACTGATTGGAACACCTGCAGCAAACAACCACACTTTAGTTCTTTCTGCACAATATAGAAACTAACTTATGCCACTGACACAAAAACCCAAGTGTAGATTTAAATCACAAAAACTATTCTATATCTACAATATTGTTAAAAACCATGAGCTGCAATAAAAATATAGCAGAATGAAACATGTTAGCATTTAGTTTGCATCTGTAATGACTCAGAGAAGTTATAAATTCCTTTACAGCTTGAATCTTATCATATAGGCAAAACAAAACAAAAAATGTTCCAGTAGAGCGAAGAAAAAGCACACACAAAATATTGTTCCATCTATCACATACTGAAGGATAAGACGATATAGTAGTTATAGTGCCAAGGCTTGTTTGTTGTTATAGTATTTTTGTAGTTTTTGTTTTTTACAGAAGATGCATTATCAAATTGTGAAACTATTTTATTGCCCAGCTTGTTTATAAGACAACTGAGAAGAAAACTGGATTATGAGGAGGTCCAGGTTCTCCTAGCGTTATGGTCATGGGTCATGCTACTTCTCAAATAGGACAATTAACAACTCAACAATTAAGAAATAATTTACAATGATCAAACCTTAACTGAAACATGGTATAAATCAGATGATCAAAATAAAAAAAATAATTCCTTAGTAACCCACAAAAAATTATGGGCACTTGTTTTGACCTCTACATAGAACATTCAAAGCCACATTAATGAGATATTAACCATACTGATATTATCATTGTGTAACAGCCCACCCACTTTACGCACAGACAAAACATCTCCACAACATACATTTACGTAGGACTCCAGTTTAAACTAATGATCAAGATTATGTAATATTATGAAGTAAACAATGTGACATGGCAGCGGGGACGGTTACATTCACACTGGGGTACGGATTTGGACAAAACACCGGTGGTCAAGAGCACACCCTAAATTGGAAGTGCACCCATTTTGTTCTAGAACCGACTATTTTACTGAACATTGCCCACCCTCTTTCAATTAAAACGGCCCTCTTTAGCTAATATATGCTTTACACAAGTCGTAGCAATCATAAGATAATTTTACATTTTAAAATAAGCATCAGTATCTTTTGTTTGTCGTGGTTGTGCTTGGAGAGAGGAGAGCCGCCAGTCACCTGACATGATCCCACCACTACCTCGGCTAAAAAAACTCACTATTTTGCCACTAAAACCGGCACGATCCACATGTTTAAGTCAATCATTTAATAAATCAATGTCTTACCTGCATAACCAACGTACAGCCATCTGAATATTCTCCAAAAGGCGCCTTTACGCAATGTTTATAGCTCAACATTAGCCCACCTAGCTGCTGCCTAGTTGTTACTTTGCGGATTACAAGTGAAAAGCTAGCACGGAGTTAGTCTGCGCTCATATCGATGAAAAGTGAGAATTTTACGGAAACTACGGTATAAATTTACAACTTAAATAAACCAAAATGCACCTTTGTCACAGTGATAGCTTAGCAGTTCCGGAAAGAGTTATATAATTCGTTTTTTTGTAAGATAATATCAAAAACATGCATGAACGCAGGGCTAGTTTTGGTTGGCCAACAGCGGTAGGCTCGTCCCGTTTGGCCCATGGCAACAGAAACGGAGGCGGAGCAAGATATAAAATAAAATAAAACAATAAAATAAAATCGTGAACTTTTTTTTTTATATTTATATAATGCACAAGACTTATTTACCATGTCAATTAAAAAAAAAAATATATTATGAAGCAAGTTTTTGTCTTTTTAGTTTTTTTAGTTTTTGTTGTTGTTGTTGTTTCTTTGTTGTTTTTCTGGGGAAGAAAAACGTTTATTCTGCAATGCGAACAGTGAAATAATTCATATTAGTTGCCAAAAAATATTTTATTGTAAATCTGACAATAAGAGCAAAGCACAAACTACGAGAGTCACGCAGATTTAAAAAAAAAAGTTTTATTTATTTATTTTTTGCCTACGTTAGACGAGTTGATATGGTTTACTTTCTCTCAAGTAATAATCTTTAACCAACTATATATTGTACTACTGAAACAGAAGCATTTTGATAAATATCTATTTTATAATAATGAAGTTTGTAAGTTGTATTGTCCTCCACTGCCCTCTGCTGTTCACGTCTGAGTTTACATCGTACTCATTTCTATTTCTAATTCATCAACATTAAACTGCTTTTAAAGTTATTTCGCGCAGGTAAATTTTCCATAAAAATCATCTGCAAATCTAGTTAAATGTTTTATTACAGCCAATCTTCTGCTACTAGGAACATAATTGTAATGTTTTCTGAATGTTATTGTCAGTCATTTTTAATAAAAGATACGTGCAAATCAAATATCATGATCGAGCTAGTTAACGCTAAATAGCTAAAATTTTAAAACATGAGCAATATTTTTTAATTTATGACAGCTGAGTAAATTGTCTAGGAATACGTTTATTTGTACATTATCTTTATAAAAATGCTAAATATAAGTGAATTAGTTTATTGTTCATTTTTACAGATGTTTACAGTTTAATTACAATGTTTTCACTATTTCTTATCTAAAAGTACTCATAGTGTAATTTGAGAGGTATATACTGCTCCAAGTAAGTATCTGCTCAGTATTTTTTTCATGTATTTATATAGTAACTGATATGAATAAACACTGCATATTAATCTGTATTATTATGTTTTTATTCTCTCTCTTACTACTTGCTTGCATTGCTGTCCGCTTGTGTCTCCCTCTGAACCTTTGGCCCACAGGTGACGGGCTCCAGTGCCATGGCTCTAAATGAGGGGTGTGTCATCTAAATTTAGCCCCAGAAAGAGTCCCCTACCCCTGGCCATGGCTCTGGCTTCTCCTGTGACACTTCCACCAGTGCCTCCCAGCCTGTCCCCAGAGCTCTCACTGCCCTCTGCCAAACCGAGCTCCAAGTTTCTCCTCTGCAGGACACCAACATCACGGAAAACGATTTGGGATTGGATCTCTTGTGTGCTTCTCTGCTACATACATCTACTACTACTGTGAGTAAACATTATGTGACAGCAGTTTTCACTTTTGGAGTATGGTTGGAGTTTCAGTGGTGGTATGCAAACTGCTGCTGCTGCTAGTACTGTTTTTGCACAACTAGTCCTATGTAGTTTCAACGTTTCGCCTTATTTTAGGTTCAAATCTGCGCTGGTTTAGATTGGGTTAAGTCTACATGAAGTTGTAGTTTTGATTTAGTTCACTGCTGAATTTGACCAAGTTGAGTCCTGTTTTAGTCCTTGTTTAATCCTGGTTAAATCATGGTTTAGTTCTTGTGTGGTCCTGCTATGATTCTCGTTTAATCCTGGTTTAATCATAGTTTTGATTTTGTTTAGACCTTAATTCTGGTTTAGTCCCGGTTCATGAACAGTCAGTCCTAGTTTTTTCTTAGGTGTTGCCCTGGTTTAAATCTTGCTTAGACCTGGTTTAGTCCAACTTGTTCTAGCACTTTTACAAACCAAGTTTTAGTCCCGATTTAATCCATGTTCTGTTGTGGTTTAGTTCTTGTTTAGACCTGCTTTGGACCTGATTTATGTCTAGTTGGTGTTGGTTAGTCCCGCCTTGTGTAGTACTATAGCATTGCCCCAATTCATTCTGGGTCAAGTTTTGGTTCAGTCCTGGTTTAGGTCTAGTTAAGTCCTGATTAAATCCTGGTTAAATCCTATTTAGCAATGCATAACTTCTGTATTGTTTCCTATTTTAGTCTTTGTTTTAGACCTGGTTTAACTCCATTTAAGTTTGCATTTATAAACCCAATCCTTTCAGACAATTCACAGAAACATCTTGTATCTTTCTTGCATTCATCCAAAGACATTTCTATTGTGTATTGTTTTGCATATCTTATTTATTTCTCCTGATTTCATTGAAAAGTCCTCTGCTTCTCGCTCAAGGACTAAAGGACTGAACCAGAGCCAGACTCGTGTTCACGGGTCTATTTCTGTGGCACATTCCTCCAGACACGCACTGCACTTTGTAGCACTTCACAACATACGACTTCCACATTACATTTTACATAGGCACAGTTAGGATTAAGTCACGTGGTCATAAAATATAACAGTATTTGTATAAGGCTTCCTTCAATTAATCAATCACGTGTATATGCAGCTTTTTTGTCATTTGAGTATTTTAATATACTATTTTTAGTAATTGCAATTAAAATATCAAAAAACAAACAAAAAAAAAAAAAAAAAAAAAACAACAACAATAACTAAAACAATATGAGGTTTATGAACAAAAAAAAAAAAAAAAAAGGCAAGACAGACTTTTAAAGCTGCACTGTGTAACTTTTCTGGTGGAGTGTGTGCTGCCTAATTGTCTCCATGGAGATATTATTACCTGGAATGTTCCATAGTATTGCATTAAACTGATCACATGTTACATTTTATATACAATCACTTAAGGATTAGGTCACATGGGCATAAAATATAACAGTATATATGTAAGATTTTCTCCAATTAATCAATAATATTTTTTAAATTTAAATTTTATTTTTCAGATTAAACAAAAAATATGACTTTTTTTCTAATTTGAAGTTGTATTATTTTGTATTAGTAGCATAGTAACAGAATTAAGTCAGAATTAAGAATTAAGTCACATATAAAACATATAATAGTTTGAATGTAAGATTTCCATCAATTCATCAATCACAATTATTTCTATTTTATTATTATTATTGTTTTTTTTTTTTTTTTTTGTAATTTTAACATTTAGTATTATTTTTTGTTAGTAGCACAACACAAAATAAAATACAAATACAAAAAAGCAATAATAAAGTTTATGATTTATGATTATAGGCAAGAAGACAGTCTTTTAAAACAGCACTATGTAATTGTTGTGACCTGATTGTCTCCATGGAGATGTTATTACTTTGCCTGAAATATTCCACAGTATTACATTAAACTGATCTATTAAAATGTTTTTATTGCTACAGTGAAAAACATGTGTGTGAGTGATCAACTCTCCACAGATCTGACCTGTGACTTGGCCTGGTCTCTGTGGACATATATGTTGTGGAGCAATTTAGGCAAAGCAATAACATCACCATGGAAACAAACAGGTGGCGGCTCATCCTCCAGCAGAAGAAAATACAGAGTGCATCTTTAAATAACAAATGCATGTTGTTGTTTTTTTTTTCTTTAATCACACAAAAATATGTCTTATTTATTTGTTGATCCATTTTAAAGGTTCACTGTGTATGTATCTATTTTGGTTGGGGGTCCTTCACCTGCTTGTGTCTGTGGAGATGTCATTGCTCTGCCTGGAATGTTCCACAGTGTGACATTAAACAGATCTGCTTTACATTTATTCAATTACAGATGGTTTTACAGCTCAAAAATACTTACAAAAACAGACATTCTGACTGTAAGTGGGGTCGCCTCTCCACAGATCTGACCTGTAACCTGGTCTGGTTTGGTCTCCATGAAGATAGAAAGGTTTAATGTCATACTGTGAAACGAAGCAATAACAATCCATGGAGAAAAAGCATCTGATGGACCCTCCACCAGAAAAGTTACACAATGCACCTTTAAATAATGTTAGTGTGATTTGATTAAAATAAGACAATAAATGGAGTATAGCTCATAATATTATGCAAAGGAATATACGGTAAAAGTGTGGTTTAGATAAAAGCTTTAGTTCCTCTGCATTAGAGTTTAAGCTTGGATTTAGTGTCCACTGCTTCTGTTACACTTTGACCTTTTGAGAGATCCACATTTACAGTCAGTGCACCGCAATCAACAGAACAAATCACCCTTTTATAAATAATTATTCTCTAATTAAAGTTTTGAGTTATAGCTTAACACCTTCTCCACAAGTGTCACTTTGATCTACAGCTGAGCAATGATGTTTCCATTTTTATATTCAGACTAATGAAGATATGGTGTGACACAAACACTGGTGCGGTGACAAGGACAAAAATAAAGATATCACTATTTTTTAAGTTTCCCGGCAGAAATGTGTTTGCCTTCACACATATTAGTTATTAGATGTTTAAGTGTCAGATAAATGTAATGTAAAATGGAATAGCTGCATAATTGTAGTGCAGAAATGTTGTTACACTTGTTTGGAAGTTTACAACTAACATTTTAAACAGCTTTTTGCAGCATTTTGTTTTTATATTTGCATATCCTCAACAAGTATGAATATTTGTATAAACTATCCCCCCTAACAAACATCACACTAAGACTGGGACTAAACTCTGGTCTAGATGAGGACTAAACCAGGACTATTACAGGACCAAACCAAGTCAACATCAAGACTAAACTGAACTCAAATTAGGACCAAATCAGAATGTGTGCAAATGTAAACTGTACTTTGTAAACAACATTATTAAAGATGCACTATGTAACTTTTCTGTTGGAGCATCTGCCACCTGCCTGTCTCCATGGAGATGATATTACTTTGCCTGTAATGAAGTTATCTCTCTTCATGGAGGTGATGCCATGAGGTCAAGTCACAGGTCAGATCTGTGGAGACAGAGGCCATTCACAGTGAAAATGTTTTTCAACATATTTTAGTGATTAAAAACATCAGTAACTGAGTAAATGCATGACAGATAAAATGAAAG